TGACGCTACTGGAGGCCCGCGCCACATGGGAGGTGGGATATTGTTTCTTCACGCATTCACCAAAATCATATTTCAATTGTTCATATTTATCAGCCGCTTTGTAGCGCAATCATCGTCTTCCGGGGATCATTTTGGTGGTTCAGATTTACGGACCGTATACGGCCGTATGTGGCCGTATGTGTACGGCCTCTTACGGCCGCCTGGTTTACGGTTACGGGCCGTAACCGTAAAGGTGCTGCCGAAGAGCCATACGGTACGGCTACGGTGACCGTACAGACCGTAACCGTATACCGTATTTACGGGTACGGTGACGATCCCTATGAGTTGGTGAGAGAAGTGCAAAGTCTTGGCAAAAGTCATATGTCGGTGGTTTGCTATTGTTATGATCTCGGCCAAATCGAGCCGAACCCAGGTCAGATTTTTACGATTGGTTCGACTTGCCTAAAGGTAAGAATGAAAACGTGCTTCGCAAGGCAACTATTGAAAGCAACTTAAAGGAAACTTCTAGGCTAGTTGAGAAATGAAACCAACGCAAACTCGGGATACTGTAGTATTACGACCGAAGGTTCAGGTGACGGGTGACAGAGGCCTGTGAAATGGTGAAATGAACCATTTCGCCCGAGTGACGGTGACAAAGTGATTTTCTGGCCCAAATAGGCTCAAAAACACGAAGAAATCTTGTCCGGCCATCGCCGGACTACCATTCATGGCAATGTTGGCCTGATTGCCGAGAAATGAACCTTCAGTCCAGTGAATCTTTGAGGTGACGGGTGACACCCCGTGAACCTTTGGTCGTAATAGTACAGTAGTCACCGAGAGGTCTGAATGAGATGTTGGTGTGATCTGTGAATCGAAGGAAGCAATTACTAAGGCGCTGAAACCCAGCGAAAGCATTTATTAGGAGGGACCACACTATATAAATGACGGGAAGGAAACTGAAAGCTATAGCTATACACTGCTATGAACAGTCATCTAAAAGAGGGTTGCAAATTGAGCTGAAACCGTAAGACCTTCCGCGTGAGCTAGTTCTACGCAGTATGATTGTTGATCGGGCAAAGGCTGTCCCAAGCGACTGTTCAAATCTGGTGAGCCAACGTACTCGCCAATTTCTACGTAGACCCTTACGGGGAGGTTTCGCTTGGTATTGAATCCCGGGAATGTCTTCTGCAAACACAACGGCAAGACCACTGCCAAATTGCGTTATGGCGTACTTGAGGGATGAAAGAGAGTCAACCACGCACATGCTCAGATGCCAGTCGATGTGGCAATGAAGGATCCCTGCGTAGTTGCATTAAGTTAGCCCGCCCCGTTTGCAGTTATATATAGAATATTCAAATCGTACAAGGACCAGCGTTATCCGTCTCGAATCTGTCAGGGTATTTTGAGCACAGTCCGGTTGCAAATGCACCATGAAATAACGAACCGGAAGGTGGTGAGATCGTCCGTGCTGTTTCCCGTAGTCACAACATCACGGATGACCTGGGATATTCGTCAGCTCACCGCTCACACTACCGAGGGAGAAAAGGACGGACTGGGTTCTCCCAGTTGTACGTCGAGTTGCCTGCGCTGCGCACGACATGGAAGTTGTGCTAAAAATGGTAAGTACCCGTCATTTGGTTCAGCCTCATGGAGGAGATACACATACGCCATGGAGATGGAAGGGATGCTGTCGAATTTTATCGAAAAGTAATCACACAGAATTAAAGTGCACTCACAGGTCCACCGATGCTGCCTCCAGGGATGCTCACTTCGATGACCTTATTCGGCGGCAGCTCGTAGACGCTCCCCTTCGGAAGCAGCTCCTGCGCCGAGTGAGCTCCGGAAAGAATTTGAAGGAGGACCGGCATAGGTGGATCGAGGAACGTCTGTGTAGTGGCATACGCATCAGACCCGGAACAGCGATGGACAGGTAGAAATGTTGCATACCGCGCCGTTGATCGAGTACTGCCCTACGCTCTGGTTGAACGCGATGTTGAGTCGGAGGTTCACATCCGCGCCGCCGGGGGCATGCTTTCCAGGGACCTTGGATGGCACGAGCGGGTGCAGCGCAGTTTCCACCAGCGGGTACTTGCTGGCGGATTCATGAGTGCTCGGCTCCTGCTCTGGCGCACCAGTGTAGCGGAGAATCGCGCTGTTGGTGCCGTTCTCGAGCCCCTGATACATTCCGAAAAGCGTAGGCCGCGCGCGGGCCCAGTAATTAGACACTGCCTGATCGGCGGTTAGGACGAAGGAGTAACGTTGGCCAGCTGGGAAGGAGTGAGCTTGTTGGGGCGGCAGGTAAGAGAAAACACCTCACCGTGAATATCGATTGAATCAACCATTAAAGGCTCATGGTTTACGCCGTCGACTTCGATGATTGTCATCGAATGGCCGTCGATGCTGGATACATAAAATGAGACCGACATGGAGGTCTCTGGATTGGCACATACCTAAACACCCAGGCCGGTTCACACGAAATCGACACGAGGCGGAAACTGTCGTCTGCGTGAGGCTACAATTTGGAGGGAAATGAAAGTGCCGGGACGCACCGGTAACGCTTCCCATGCGAGACCTTGATCACCGCGAGATCAGAGCGGGGCTAAAAGATTGATGAGCAGTGGCCATTGCACATACCAGCCGCACTCACCCCATTCTCATAGCGTCCAAGGCCATTGATCAGTGTACTATTCGGGAACGGGGTCGTTGCCTTGGGTGCAAAGAACGAGTTGTAGTGGTACCAGTCGGCGAGCGTGATAACAGTTGATTCTGCGGCAATTTCAACAATGGGCCCTAATTTTTGGGAGCCTTCCACATTACCGTCATCGACATCTGCAAATGCAAAGACATCAGTCGGACTGGAGACCGAGTAAACGAGATTCCGGACACACCGTACATGTGCTTCGCAGGGTCGTTAGGGTCGTAGACTGTTCCATGTGAGAGGATGTTCAGCAATGTTCAAGTAAGGCTACTAACCGACCATTGCTCCACTGAGGTACTGAATGAGCTTCCAGACAAAATAAAACTTAGAGGACGCACCGAAGGCCGTCACAGTATTGAGTCGATAGATGGCTATGGTACCAGAATGTTCCGGCCTGGTCCCTGCGACATCGGTCAGAAATGCAGCCTCCAGTGAAATAGTCATCCGCGTTACTTACGGAACTTCGAAGTCGTATAGGAACGAGTGGCCGGTGGTGATGGGGCATTCTATGATGTCGCGCGTGAATAGATGAGGAAAGCGGAACAGCAGGAGCGACCGACGTGTAACCCATGAGACTCCGTCCGCCCAGTTGGTGTGTTTCTGGAACAGGCCGTGCCAGTGCTGTGGATAGATGAATTGAATCAGTGCCCACATAATGCTTTTTGGAGCTAGGAAGTATGTACAATGCTGGTGTCTGTCAACATATCTGCTTCAGTCAATCTATCCACTACGTTGAGCCTGAAGCGGTCGCCCTGTACGCGCGTCAGAATAAATGGCACTTTGCACTGCGGAAAAGTTGCGCACCTTCTTCCCCGTGATCAAGGGTCCAGGAAAATTGCCATCGGCAAGGACAGCACTAGATCGAAGTGAAAAAGACTCCCAACCTTTGACCTTGGTGCGAACTCACGTTCTGTTGAAACTATCAGGGCTGATGGCCTTGTTGACTATTTCCAGTGTGGCGGATGGGCCCTGGCAGCGAGAAAGTCAGTGCATGGAATGACTCCGGAAGCAAATAGCGCACGACTGCGGCGTGGGTGCCCGAAATCGCAGAAAATATGAAGAAGGCAGCGGAAAGAATCATGCTCGAAAAACGGGTTAACCAGAGAGAATGAGATGAATTTGGGAAGCGAGGCTGGTGATCTTTTATACTGAGGCTTTTCCGCCAGTACCTGCTCGCCCCGACATCGGCGTGCGGAAAGAGGTTGGAAGCGCGGACAGTAGGCGTTTCACGGTGGTCGAAATTCGATGAACGCCGGACCAAGGTGGACTCCACAATGCAACACGCCAATGACTTCATGTCCATGACAAGAGTGCTGATGGGGCCCTAGAGTATTCCGCTTCGGATTGGCGGCGTGCTATCGAAGGCTATCGAGCTTTCAAAGTAAAACTGTGATTGGAGGTATCTTTAGCTTGAAATACGATGAATCTGTAGTCTCGATGCCGATGCCGTTTCGGACGGAAGTTCCAGCCACCTTGCCTTCCGTCGGTGGCAGAATCTCCAACGGGGGTTGAACCGTACTTGGGTCGTATCCGAATCGAAAGGAAGCAAATGGTAAAAAGCAAAGTCGTGGATGGTGGTACAATAAAGGACCAGGAGGAAACCGGGCCGACATTCCCGATCGCTGTACGACTCGGAGTTCTTCGGCCGAAAAGGGAACGGTTCAACATGCACCCGAAACAAACACATTACTTCGCCTGTGCTCTCGCCTTGTGCAGAAGTCTTTTTATCGCTTCAGAATTCAGTCATTAAAATGAGCGAGTTTGCAAAGAGGATATCAGGCTAATCTTGGACATCCGTTCAAGCATTTTTGATTCTTGGAGATCATTTGCGCGCGGGCAATTTGCTGATGGCATATATAAACGAGCATCGCTGAACAAACCCATTGGAAGCTCCTGAAAGGATGTGTTACATCTTGGGAAAAGAAAACAACAAATTCATCTGTTGAAAACGGAAAAATTATCCGGAAGAGGCAACAGAAACGTGTAAAAACAACGATGGAAATAAAAGAGAATAAAAGGTGGTCATTGAAGAATTGTGCGACTAATATCTAACAAGATCCTCACAGGAATCAGTCTAATCCTTCTACACTTTTTAATCACAGCTTGTCAGTCACTCATACCACAATTTGAATCGCCGGTGAGCCTTCAAGCTAGCTTTGTTTTTCTCGACTTATGTGGAACAAGATGGCATTGGAGGCTACGCACCACTAGTACCCTTCCATCACCGGCAATCGTCCTCAAGCGTATGTACCATACAGTTGTTACTGATGTGATGGGCCTACATACAATATTATCTGGCGGGAGCGGGAAAAAACAAAAGAAACGACACTGGCATGATTCGAACATGCGCCCAACAAGTGGAACAGATAGAAACTTTACCTACGGCTTTTGATTCGAATCTGTCGCGTTAACCACTCCGCCACAGTGCCATGACCTCCCACTGTCCCAATTTGGAATCCTGCAAACTACTGAAACTACACTCCAAGTCGGGCGCTCAGACCCACTCACCGTTCAGATGACTGATCAGTAGTCTCGGCTCCAGACGTTCGGGTGTATCCGGATCATCGGAACGGTCGGAACAGTCGGAGAGTGAAAAATGAAGCGCAGAAAAGGTGGTGTCAATGTCGCCAGTGGTGTCATCGAACTTTAATTCTCTGTCTGGTAGCATCAGCTCCCCCCTGGCTTGACCACTCTATGCTTGTGCTTGGTCTGCGCTAGCTGTTGAACGAATACCCCCAGCATTTCCTTTTCTCTCGGGCACTGCCTAATTCTGGCGCCCGCTATTTCCTTATCGAAATGGGCCATGATACTGGTCCATGAGATCGATAGGGGACTAGCCGAATGCGGTCTGATCATACATCAGTCACACATGTCACTCGATGGGAGGTGTCACTGCACGAATTGCCCCAGACGTTCGAGAGGGGATCCCTGCGCTTCATTCTTCAAACTCCGACCGGAAATGATCCGAAATCATGATATTTGTCAAAAGCTATTACTACTACGCCGTGATCTTATCCCTCGAGAATGGCTGGTAACTAGGGATCGCCACCGTAGCCGTATAATACGGTTACGGTTACGGCCTATACGGTCACCGTAACCGTACCGTATAGCCTCTGGACGACCTCATACGGTTACGGTACGGTACGGTTGTTTTTGTAAGTCTGAATTGACGTGTCACAGAAGCTACTGAATCATTTAGATGCATACAGATGGATAAGAAATACTGTACTTTACAGTCTGGAAGAACGCTAGCCTTGCGACAATGGATTTTCAACGAACCGTATACCGTAAACATACGGCGTACGGACCGTACCGTATACGGTACGGTGGGGGTCAAAGTGGCACCGTAAAGCCGCCGTATTCTTACGGCCGTAACCGTATACGGTACGGTGACGATCCCTACTGGTAACGAGACTAACTGATCAGGACGAACGGTGTTTACGCATTGGCCTCCGAGTCGGAGATCAGATCTTTCTTGTCCTCGTCGCTCATCTCGCCTATGCCGGACAGCTCTTAGCAAGCTCTTAGGCTCTCTTAGGCGGGAGAGTTGCGGTTCACACCCTGGGAGATCCAGTCCATGTGGAATTCTGGGCCTCACGACCATCGCCTTGGTCGGAGACCGCCTCCCCCACCAGTGTGGAACAGAAAAATACGCCGCTATCGACATTCTAGTCCGCAATGCTCCAATTAAATCATTTCATCCCTTCGTTAACCCATGATTGTGCACCCCACTGCGCCGTTGGTTTTTTGCCAACGTATTGTTGTATTAAACTAGTGCCTGAGGTCAAATTGAATGAACGCATGGTATCGTGTCACGGTGAAGAATTGAGCATGCCATGAGAAGGGGATTTAGTAGGTTTAGGGAATTCATGGGAACACATCCAAAATTGATGCACATACACTTTTCTCGGTGTTCAGAGACTTTGTCTGCTACTTCTCGAAACGAAATGGCGGTGCTGGCCGGCTCCAGCACACCCGAAATTGTCTATGTATCCATGCCACAGTCAGGTTCAAACGGCACAGTTGTTCCGTTCAATCACATACTGCATGACGAGAGGGTTGCGGCTGTCAAGTAGACCAGCGAACTGTGGCAAGTCAAGGCGTACCATTGAATCATCATTAAATCAACCAACAAAAGGAACATATACGGACACCGAGAAGTCAATGCGAGTTTAGAAACGAGGCGTCCATGTCTGACACAGTATAGCGGTGGCCGTCCGAAACACGACGCGAAGAATAAATACAAGTCGGATGGCACAGAGGGATATAGCGAGTAAGGATAGTGCAACTAGATCGAACAGGACAGATTCTAGATATATGAAGAGAAACGGAAGCATGATTTCAAAGGAGCTCGAGTCAAAGGTAAGAAGTAAATGTGCATGCAGGCTTGCATCCCTATGTTTATTAATCACTATGCCAGAAACTATGCTCATACCGGCGTCGAAACAAGACCGCGCGGCTGGCCATGCTAATAGACTTCGCGGCATTCACGCTCACGGACGCCAAATTGCCGCCGAAATTAGAGGAACCGCGCAGTTGGCACTCGTCGAGGATCTACACGCGCAATGTTACAGACTTTGAGTCAGCCAAGCGTAAATCTTCAGGGAAATATCAACCCGCTCCCTCTAACGCAAAAGACACACCTCGATCTCAATCCTGAGGCGCCGCACCTGCCGAATGCATCGCAGGATGGCGAGCGTGCGGCTCGGAAGTAGGAAACGGACATCCAGGGCATGGGAGAGGGAGTCCCGGAGAGCGGCTTCGCGGAGGGTGGACGCCACAAGCTGAATGCTGTCCGTAATTCAGCGCTAGCAAGAACTGAGTGAGAGAATAGGAGTAGATCCACGCACGCAGAGAGTCGTCCAGCCATCTCTGCATGTGAGTTGGACGCTGAGATCACACCCGCCTCAAGCGCCCCGAAGTATGCGTTTTCGGTGTCTGCCAAGGCGGGGATGAGGACGCGCAACGTGAGCTGCGCAGGGGATGCGTAGCGGACGAGAAGGGTGGCGACGAGGGCAAGAACCAGGAGCCCGACCGTGATCAAATTGGTTGTGCTACCGGTGGTGGCAGTGGGAGCGGAGATGGCGGAGAGAAGGAGGGCGAGGGACGCTTCGTTGATGCTGGACATGCTCAATGTTCAGTTTAAGTGGTGTGCGGGCCGTCGATTCGAGGTTGGGAGTGGCTTGTCGGAAGGGGTTCTCGGTTGAGCAGTACACGGCGGGGGTGTGAGCTGGATTGGTATCTTTCATGCCATTCTCCTCTCTTTTTAAACCTTTCTTTCAGTGATATAAAACAGCTTTGGCTGGGATTCGAGTACCCGCGCCCACAATGATCAGATGGCACGAAAATAACAACTTCCTTATATGTGCTTTCTCACACTAATCCAAAGCAATCAGTGGTTGCGATTGGTACAGACCCATGTTTACGTAATCCCCGCCCACAATGTCGAGCTTGGAAGCCCACATATGCAGTTGGAGTGGCGCGGAGTTTGTGGTTCGGGACTTACGATTGTTTACTATGTTCTTGTTTCCACTTTGCAACTTGAATTTTTCGGCCTGTTCAGTGTTGAACTTTGTGCCGTACCAACGAAAAGACCAGCGCATGGTGTCGCTATAGAACTCGGTATATGAACAAATGTGCAAATATTGCCAAGTTAAAAATTGGCCGCGCACTGTGGTGTGATATTTGGGCCCGGCGCATCACCGCTATCTCTACTGAATTCACCTTCGAAAGCCGTGTATCCCCGCCTGGCTGTCACTGTTCATCATCTTTCGTCCGAACGTGGTCGAGAGTATGATTCTGCAAAAATTCAACCGTGGGAATCTATTTCGAATTTGATCGGATGCTTCTTCGCAGGGTGCCAGATGTCTGACAGAGTGACTGTTTGCAGGAGGATGCATGCAGGTGGACTAAACGAGTATGGAATAAAGAGCGAAGCCTTGAACACAACAGAGATCTAGAGATTCAACCACGAGGGAAGACGAACTGCAGTCTAAGACTGATTAGTCGATTGGCGTACACCACAGGCCCTGATTCGTACGGAAGAGGAGCAAATGTCGGAGACGCAAGTGGATGCGGCCAAAATAGGATAAAGCAGTGGTTCCATGTATGTGGTACGGGGGAGTAGGTGGGGCTATGGAAAGGCTAAGACTTTCTAAATGTCAGAGGTAGTTTGTAAATGACTGACACTGTGCACTGTACGGTGTTAAAAATGTTTGATGTTCGGTGAAGATACATGCATGCTTATTGCGCGGTGCAGACTCCGCGTGGGGGTGAGAGAACAGGACATTGTTCACAAACCTGAGCTGGAGGGCAGTACCGTGCATGGGATAGTCGTCGCTTGTCTTTTTTTATTGGAAAGTAGAGGAAGAAGCTGCAAAATTACGAGGCCAAATTAAAGGAATACATACCGTGAGAGAAGCAACCGAGAAGCGAACGCTGGCCGGAGGCACGGACATCCGCTACCCAGATGATCCAGACACAAAAACGCAGGCGACAGAGTGACCCATTCCCGCTGCATGATCGCGGAGATAAGAAGGTTGTGGCCGAAATTTGCTGTACACTGGGAAGTATCATTTCGCCCGTTTTTCTAAGGATCCATCCGACGCGACTGATTTCAACCAGACTATCCATCCTCCATAGCTATCCCACCTTTCATCCCCCGCCTCCTTAGAGACCAATGAATAACCGTAAAGTCTTTGCGTTATTAAGTACTACGTAGTTCTCAACACGAAACCTAAAACCGAAAACTGTCAAACCTTTGGTTTTGTATCAGTAGCAAGGCATACATGTATACGTAGAGGCAAGCAAGCACAACCCATAACACTGGAATCGGTCACTCCAACACCATTCCCTCCAAGACCGACGCTGTATGATTCACATTTGCTCCCCTGAGATCACTTTGCGTGAATGTATCCACGGAACAAAATTGCACTCACCTCGATGCGACATTTTCCTTGATATAGCTTACGATGCGCTTCATCTCCGCAAAACCTTCGGGACTCATGATGTCGACACTCCAGGCGTCCGCGAGATGATATTTACCGAAATCAGGCGGTGTCACGGCCCCAGTGGTCTTATCGCCGCAGTAAACTCGCATCTTGGACCCGAAGACGCATCCGCCGTAGAGCAAGTCGATGGGGCATTCGAAAAGAAGGTCATCGTACCGGCCGCGCATCTGCTTGTCAGCGTATTTACGGGTGTTGAGGATAGAATGCCCGTTGTTCTGGACCTCCATGACAAAGACGGGGCGGTCTGTTTTGCCGCCGTGGAACACGGTGTAGAAAATTGTGGAATCCACCAGATGTGGAGTGATCATGAATTGGAAGCCGTTGCCGAAGCAGTGAGAGAGCATTTTGTTGTACGGGCCGTTATACGCGCCACAGCACCAAGAGGCGGCGTCGGGCCTCGCCGCAATATCGAAATCTGTGCCGAGCTCGAGTGGCCATTCTTTATCGGTGTCGAAAGTCATGTCTGAGGCTTGGATCAGCACTATGTCTGATGCTAGGGTTAGCACTACATTTTTCGCAACGAAAAGAATGAATGCCACTCACTTTCAAAGTGGGGGAAGAACAGGGGTTGAAAAAGAAGTCAAGTGCGAAGTTCGAACGTGCCTTGATGTGAATGCGCACGGACCCACTGTGATGTAAAGATTGACTGCCGCAATGCCGCGCTGGTTACAGCAAGTACCGTCATGAAAGATCCTCATTCCATCCTCAGGTTTTAAAGGCGGGACCAAGAAGACTGAACTCAAACTTCAATCGACGACCGACAGTGTCGCACTTGCAGAGACTAGCGACGATCGCAATCGAAGCGCTATGGACGGCGCTCGGTCAAAATCGACGATTCTACGTACCGCTACCGATGCCCCAAATGGTTGAATCAACTCTTATGCACATTGGCGTTATCTTCAATCTCACCAACTTCAATCCGATGCAACGTTCTTAGCCAAAACACTCACCCGGAGCTTGAATCGAATCAAAACGATGGTCTCGAATTTCAATCAGGGAAGACATGGAAGGAGGTGATATCGTCCAGCCTCCTATCTTGATTTTTGAGAACAACGCGACGCGCGCGACAAAGGTGCAACCCTTGCTTAATTCTTCGGAACAGAAAACTTGATCACTCTTACCATCTCCTGCCACCAAATAAAAATACCGTCGCAACCACATACTCGCGATTCATGGATGCCTAATCTGAGTAAGCCCCTGCCCTCAATGGGTGGCGACTCCATGCCCACAGTACTTATGATCATCAACAAAGAAACGCAGTAGGCGCGTAAACGCCCAATCCAACTGGATTTTCTGCGAGACAAATATTTGTTAGGAGCCATTGACAGTCTGCAAGACCCTCGACACGGGCCGTACGTGATCGCACTGCCAGGAAATTAACAACGCGGAGACCATATTAGCGACGCGAATAGCCTATTCATGTCCTCACGGATAAGACACCTATGCCGTCAATCCCAGACATTATCTGTAGCGTGCATTGGGCCCAGCCCATTTGGCATTAACCAGTTCACCTCTAAATTTCTGTTCCGAATACCTATTTATATATTCCGAATTCCCCCCATCCATGCTAAGCGCTTAGCATGGATGGGGGAATGAATAGGAAATCTGATTATGTGTTTAGCGAAACTCCACTGCACGACGGCGGTATGTACCTTCGATTCGATGTGGCCAGGTGGTAAAAATGATTTCGGACCTTTCCGGGGAAATGAAGAGACCAAGAAGAGAGCGAAAGTCATGGACCTTCCTGTCATTCGACTCAGTATCTGGTAAGTAAAAGCTGAAACGACGTTGAGGCATAGTATGCATAAATCGGAAAGTAGATCCATGTTAGAAAAAGAGAGTTGGTTTTGCAGCTGCTGCACAACTCAAAGCCTGAGGCGGGAATGCCTGTATCGAGATCCAGCTGCTTTTAACAGGGCGATAGCCAGCGATAGCACTAGTTTGGAATGAACGTTTCAATGGGGGTAATCAACATCAAGTGCGAGGCAAAAAAGTGCAAAAAGAACGACACTGGCATGATTCGAACATGCGCCCAACAAGTGGAACAGATGAATCGTTTGGAAGCATTTTGGTTCTAATCTGTCGCGTTAACCACTCCGCCACAGTGCCACGAGAAACGGAGCGACCGGCGGGGTATATAGTGTTGGAGGGACTGACTTCTCATTTCCATCTTGTCAGGTTAAATAGACTTCTTCTTTCACAGTACATAGCGATGTTCAAATTATTGGCTTGACCCAAAGATGAAAGTTACCTACCTGGAGTGGCCACATTTTGCTTCAGGAAAATTCCTGCACAGTGAGAACCGAGCCCAGTCTAGTTACTAGTACCTATGTCGAAGAAAGATTGCTAAACTGGAGAGATACATTAAAGCTACACATCTAAATCGTAGCCCGTTACAGGACAAGCTCAGCTGTAATCGAATCGATTTGACCCTATCGAATCGAATGGATCCGGATGCATGTACCAGTGTACGAGCTGCTAAGCGTCCTTTCACGTATTAGGTCCTCCCCGGCATCCGAGCTTAGGTCAAGAGAGTGCTAGTTCCTAGCTGCGGCATTGCTGAGTCGAAACACTGCATTGAAATAGCGCCCGGGTTGAAATGATCCGAATGAACTGGTGTCCTGTCTTGTCTTAATGGAACTACGCTGAGGAACCATGAAGTACGGCTTGTATTGAATATTCAGGCCAGGCCTAGGTTGACTAAAGGGACCATGACAGATATGGATGAATGAGCTGTTGTACTATGGATAATACGTATCCCAAATATAATCGCGACAGTCTAAGGCTACACCCGCGTCCAGGAACGCAGATCAGGACTCGACAACGCTGGTCCATGGAGAACCATACTGCGCACTGAGCGAGGAGGGTAATTCACCGTCGACTCAAAAACGACTCATGTTGGGTTGGTGTAACACGAGAGTTAAAATCGGAATGACCTTTCCCTCCATGAATTTCTTTACCTTCGTGTATTTGATGAAGTGGAGTCTCAACCACACATACTACTGCTGTTCGGCTGTCTGCAATATTGAAATTGCCTCTCAAATTTCGCTTCTCGCAAATTGAACCCTGAACTTTGCGTTGCGCACTCTAAGTGTGGAGATGCGTATGTCTGAATGGATAATTCGGAATTCGTACGTCGATCTGTAATCCCTAGGGAAATAGTGTATGTGAACGGTGGGAGTCAGGAGCACGGGAGCGCCGGGAGTCTTTTGCGAGGGGGAGGAGCAACCAAGCCTTGAGCGTGGAGCAGCCGAGGAGGAGATGAGACCTAAAAGGGAGCTCGAAAAAAATCAAGTAGAATGGGAGTGGTGTCAATGGGGAACTGAGACAGGGAGCCTCTCGGCTGGAGCGCAGGCTGGATTTCAGGAGTAGCTGGGGAGGAGGGGAGCAGGAATAGGTACGGGAGGTCGGCGCGAAGCCTGCACTATGGAACGACACAGCATCAGGTTCTATTTAACCTTGGAGGATGGAGTGAGCGATGGTAAAGGAAAGACCGAGCGAGTTCAAACTTCAGACTTCAACGCGGAAGGGAATTTAAAACATTCCATCTCAGATTTTAACAGCGAACATACTTATATAGACAGGTAGCACTTCAGACTGAATTGCCAGGGGATAAGAAAATGGGGTTCAAGTTGAACGCAACGGCATACAGTAGATTGCAGGTCGGGAACGGGGAAGCCGAGGTTTGCACGACCTTGACTTTGAAGTGAAGCTTGAGAAAAACCAGACACAGACACAGGGAAAGCGAAATTAATTCTAATGCGAGGGGGCAGCGAGGTTTAAGGGGGGCAGTAAGTTTTGAAAGACACACCCTCCGCCTCCCCTTCGCTGCAGCCGCTTTATACCCTCTAACTGCCTTGATCATGATGCCTCGATTGAATAAATGAGACACCGAGATACGCTCTGTACGGAGGGGCAGATTCGCGCACACCGGAGTCTTTGTAGATTCGCGCATACCGGAGTCTTTGACATTTGTAGATTCGCGCATACCGGAAGCCTGAGGATAGATACACAGATTCGCACATATCGGACACGCAGATTCGGACATGCCGGACATGCAGAGTCGGATTCGCACATGCCGGACACGCAGATTCGCACATGCCGGCCCGAGATAAATAGTCCGATAGTCGGCGCTGCAGCGGCCGTGGGCCGATGTAAAGTTTGAGGGCGTGTGGGAGGTCAATGGTTGCGCTTAGTAAGCTTGTAGGGTTGAAAGAACGGGCCTAGCTTGCGCGTTGGTCGAGTTGAAAGTTTGGCTTTGAAGTTTGGACTGCCACATGGAGAGCGAAGGAGGAGAGAGTCGATAAGCTTGTACAGGGTGAACACGGATGATGAAAACGAAAGACCGAGACCAAGCAGGTGAAGGATATCGATGAAAATCGCCTGGGAAAACAAGATGCGCCCGCGCGTGCGCGTGTTACAGAACGAAGACTCGGCCGGACCATACCCAGGCAGTACTTGTGGCGTTGTTTTGAGCGTGGCTGTGAGTGGCTTGTTCTACCGCGCCGCAAAAAAAAAAAAAGGAGTAAAGGAAGGAATGAAGGAAGGAAGACACTGGAGAACACTCTAATTAGTTTCGGACCGGGTGGCCATGGGCGGGAACGTGCGTGAACAGAGAAGATAGCACGAAGAAGACGAAGAGCGCAACCGTGATGATGAACCGAGGCAGCTGAGCCCTAGAGTCGAATTGGTAGCTTTGTTGAGGAAGCGCCACGGGAGAAACCAGCAAGGGAGGAACACAAAGCAAAGCAGGACTTTAGGGGTAGAGAAGTAAGTACTCGGGACCGTGGCGAACAAGAGACAGAATTAAAGGCTACCCACAGGAGAAGAAGGCTGGAGGCACAGGAGAAGAAGGCTGGAGACACACAGTAGTTAGATCAATAGTATATATATGTAGACTGCAGTAAAGGACGCTCGATGCCCGGCCGGCGAAGGACTGGGGCTTCAAGGAAGCCTGAAGCTCAAGGCAAAATTGAGCTGCCAGCGACTCGAACTTGAAGGAGAAGGATATTCGGGATACTGTACGTTAGGAGGGCGGGAGAACAGTATTGTACTTGAGATGAATGTTGGAGGTTGAATGTTGAACGTTGAACGATGAATGTTGAACGATGCGAACAGGATTGAGGAAACGCTTGGACAAAAGAAGCATACAGCAGCCCGGCGCCGCCAAATGAGGTTGAGTAAAGCACTATGCAATGATGGTCCGGCATGAGACGACCCGCACTGTGCGTATGTACCCTATTGGATACGTCCGCGGGGCGACGGTATTTACCAACATTCCTGGATCCTCAAGCTCGCGTGGACGGTTTGATATTCTTCTTCAAGTCTCGCGTGATATTCTTCTTCAAGTCTCGCGTCGAGTATCGATAGAGAGAAGAATGAAAACAAAGAAGAGCTCAAAGCAGCAGGAATAGAAGCACAAGAATCCAAGGCGAAGCGGGTCCGAGAGGCGGACGGGAGTGGAACGGGTTGCGAAGGCTGGGGGTAGAAGGATGTTGGGAGAGCTTAGGGCAGAAGGCGCACAGGAGAGAGAAATAATTTGGAGAAGACCGGACCAGTTTGTTCAACCCCCGGCCCCTTCCTCTCCTCTCCTTGCTTGATGATGGCCGGGCGAAAGCTTGAACGCCCGGGGTAGACTATAGCTATAGGAGGACGGGAGAAGAGAAGAGAGCCTCGGACAACACAATTTACGAAAGGAAAAGCCACCGCTCCGGATAGCATATATATCAGGAAAGAAGAAAAAATAGAGAAAGACGCGCGAACCTTGTCGTAAATTCGGATTTCGAGTCACTGGCCCGGCGAGGGAGGGAACCTGAGTTGAACGAATTATTCAAGCAATGGTGGGCAAATGAGAAAGAACTTAGAAGAGAAGCAGTGTGTTCAACCTGCTTCTTCTCCTGTGCGGGCACGCCTGTAGTTTGCTTGACGGATGGATGGTGATAAGTAGCCGGCTGCCGTTGGCACCTATAACTTGTTCGAAGACGCGCGGTGGGGTAGAAGTATAGTATTAGGAGGGCGGGAGAACGGAACTTGAAGGGTTGAACCTTGAGTCTTGAGAGGAGAAGTTGAACGTTGATTGACTGAGAAGAGGAGATTGACTGAGAAGAGGAGAATAGGAGAACAGAGGAGTAGCAAGCGCGAGAAGGAGGACAACCCGGGAGAATTCGAAGAAGAGATTGTAAGACTAAAATAGAACCCGGGATGAGACGACCCGTACCCAATTGGATATATTCCTGGACCTTCCTTCTCGCGTCTCGCGTCGGCTATTCCTTGCTTCCCCCGCCAGATATCCCAGACGCATCTGAGTCGGCACAGACTCGACAGATCTAGACGGACAAGGAGGTACCGACGGAATGCGCCCGGACCGAGACCCTCGAGGCTCAAACTCGTGGCATTAACTTCAACGCGGATTTGCGCCCAGCCGGAGGAGGCTTATCTCTATCTCTGTCTCCCATGGCCATGGCCAGATTAACGTTATGTTCCTTGCTGGTCGCAGAGATGAACGCTATTTCACTTGGCCGGGGGCCCCAGATAAAGACATACTTATATGTAGCTATAGGGTCGCCGCAGATAGTGTACACTCCATCACCGCGGATTAACATCCGTAGATTTGATTATATATTACACCCGTAGATTTGATTATATATTACATCCGTACATTCAAGCTTGCTTGCCAGAACTTACTGTATACAAGCCTGAGTAGCGTTGGATTGGATTGAATTCGCATTGTAAATTGGATTCGCATTGGCGTTGTGGGATTGGATTGGATTGGATTGAGAGACATTTAACTCGGATTGGATTGAGAGGCATTTACGTAAATCGGATTTGCGCCTTGCGAGACGGGGCCGGAGCCGGTGATAAGTAGTCTGTCTGTATGTACATGCATGCAGGGCTTATCCTTATCTTTATGAACTTTGAACCTGGATCTTCGTGCTATAACTTTGAACCTGGGGCCAGCAGTGGGTCCTGTGGTAATCCGTCGGTCGGGCCGGCGCCGGGACTGGGTCGGAGGGAAGGACAAAGCAGAATAGATCGGAAGAGGAGGAATTTCTGCACCGGCGACGGAGAATTTTTGCGAGAAGTTGGAAGGAATCGTAACTTTAAGTATG